GCCCCGCAAATCCCAGACTTGGGCCTTCATCTCTGCAGCCAGGACCTGTGAGAGCTCGAGAGACTCCCAGGAGAGGTGAAGGACACTGCCCCTCCTCTGCAACCAGTGTACTCCTCCCTGGGGGATTCACGGTGACTTTTCTCAGTGTTCCAGATGACCAGTCCTCTTCCTCGTGCACTGGGCCAATATCTTACACAAGCAGAGATTCTCCCTGTCAGAAAGTTCTGGTTCCTTGACATATTAAATTGCTATCGCCTTCATTCAGCTCCACTCTTCATTAATACTTCTTTTTTAACATTTTCTTTCCCTCTTTGCAGGTAAGAGCTCTACTTTAAAAAGCTCTCTTGTGATCAAGGTGACCATTTGCCTTTTCCCTGTGAGCGTAACTGCATTGTTGCCTATTTTCAAGGGGTTGCCCAGAGATTTCTGATGGTGAGAAAGAGCAACTCCTCTCTGAGGTATTACCTGCCGTGACAGCCTCCCGCAGTGCAGGGAGAGTGAAGTCAGCCTCAGAGAAGGCTCGGTTCTCACCAGCCTTACCCACGCTGCTTAGACCCTCTTACATTCCCTGCTCAATTTTTACATCATGAGGAAGCCAGATCAAAAGGATGTACTAGCAATAGACGTTCATGACACTGGAGGAGATGGAGCTTTCTCCACAACCAGAACAAGTACCATCAGGATGGGAAAAGAAGGGTAGGTAAGTGAACCCCAGTCTTCTGTTGCTAGGGTTTGCCCTGTACTCTAACTAACCGGCCTGTCTCTCTCCTGAGGCTGGGTTACGGTCTAGTAGCCCATGTCACCATGGCTCACTTTTTCTTTCCCTTCACAACTGTCGCCTGTGTTTCAGTCATTTGTCTTTTATTTGCCTTTATTTTTGGTTTAGTGATTCAGGTTGCTTCCTGACCTATCTCAAGTTGTGGTATTTCGAGCCTCTGCAGATACTACTGTTCTACCACTTTCTTGTCCCTGACACCATCTCAAAACTGGGTACCATCTATCTTCATATGAATGGATTTCCATTTTCAATGCAGATAAATAGTTAAGGGTAAAGTTCTACCTACTCTTTTTTTTTTTTTGATTAATTTATTTATTTATGCACACAAGAGCTGGAGTACATGCCAGAGTTGCTGGAGGCGAGAGGATTCAGCAGAGACAGAGGAGGGAGTAGAATAGACAGATTGCTGAGGGGAGCAGCAGGAGGGAGAGGAGAGGTCTGCTGTGCCGTGTGGGTCACCTCCCTGGCCAGGGATTGAACCCCTTCTGCAGTGGTTGGGACAGCTTCATAGTGCTGCTCTGTAACCCCTTGTGCCACGGGGAGACCCCTTACTCTTCTTTTTTTATAGGTTATTTTTATATCATTTTGTGCCTTTTCCATCAGTTGTAATCTCCATCTACTCTTCTTTTTAATGATAGCTCCTTAGCAAGTTTTCACCAGTTACATTGTCCACCCCGTTTTCTAAGTGATTGCCCAAACACTGCACAAAAGAATGAAATCTGTGTGTCCTCCATTGTGTGCACTTATAATCTCCTCGTAGAAAAACTCTTAATTGGACTGGAATGGTTAATTTGCTTTCAAGCCAGACTGCTTTTTTTACTTTTTGTGAAACATTGGACATTTATGCTGTCTCCTGCTCTCCTGCATCCCAGCCACCATCCACAGTTCCCAGGCAGTCATCCCTCTCCTTCCCTCCTTCCAGAGTCAAGTCTCTTCTGTGCTCTTTTCCTGCAATGTGGGTAATTTATTTTACTGGTTCCCAGACTATTTACAATGAAAAAGAAATTCTGCATAGCTTAAAAAAAAAAAAAGAGAAAGAAAGAAAGCCAGTGGAGTGGCCTGTTGATGACAATTTCCCTTCCTTTTCAGCAGGGCCTTTGCCCCTTGATCCTCTTGTTCAAATTGTGTCAACCACTTTTTTTCCCTGTCCTCCCTTTTCTTCTTGTGAAAATCAAAAGTTAGCTTTTCAGAATACTTTTTCCTTGTGTCCCAGGTCTCAGTCCATTCTCTGATTCCATAATTTCTACATCATGAATTTTCATCATGAATCACGACTTCACTTGTTGAAACTTTTCCCTTTGTGCTAGAATGTGATAGATACGTGTTGACTGGATAGGTTGATGGAGCGTGCTGCTACCTGAGAATCCCCTTGGGTGAGCAGGTGCTTGGCAAGAGTGAGGAGGAATAGAGCTTAAATTTCCAAGCTGCAACATCAGTTCACCGCCACAGGATACAGAGGGCCACTTACACAAGATGGCTTGAATGGCCTGGAGAACTTAAAAAACGTTGAAAAAGAAAATCGGAAGAGACATGCTAGGTAGACTTACTACTGAAATATCTAGTTAGAGATTATAGATGATAAGGGAATATGCACATTGAAATGTGTGTAACACGGACGTCTTTTCACACTTAGGTTTGGATTAAAATTTACTCATTTTTGCCAACATTTCCAAGTGTTTATCATCATCATTTCCTGTGTTTATCAGGCACCAGGTTTTAGTTTGTCTCATTGCATTTAGATTAGCTTCACGCAGTTGACTCAGGGTTCTCTGTAGTATCCTCCACTACAAAATCAGTGATTTTCCTGTTACCATAAAGGTGATGGAGAGAGAGTTACTGAGGGATGGATAGAAACCATCTCATTTAACATGAAAAAAATTTTCATTAGATTTCTTCTTTGATTTGGAAAATGAAGGTTCTTACCTTAGGAGATACTGCCTTTTGTAAGTGAAAATTACCTGGCCTCAGTCGTGTCAGTTTCTAATACATAATACACCAAAGTGTTTAAAACACCAACACTGTAGCCTTCAGAGGAGAACAATTATATAATCTATCTGAGCATGAATGGTAAACAAAAAGTGTTAAAGTGGCTCAGTAGCAAGTACTCTTATTTAGTTGCTGCTATTCCCATGTTTGTCCCCTGGCATTTTTGAGAAATACAGACACATTTATTCACAGATACAACTCTCGGTTTATGAAGTTAAAATAACATGATTTCATTGATAAGAACAGGACATGCCGTGAACAAATTGCAGTCTCCAGAGCTTTGACTGAGTCTAAATCAACCCAGTCATTTGCAAATAATAATTGATTCTTATCTAGTTACTCACTGAAAGAATTTACTTGACTTTAGTCTTTTGGACAACTCAGAGATGGAGAACATTTAACGCTAACCAGTTATTTCTTCCTTTATGTCTTTGCTATTTGATTAATGAGGGAGGATATGTTTTTTATAGTTGAAAGAAGCTGTAAATAAGTTTGATGTTATTCTGTTGCAGAATATGGCTGAAGCCTGGAAGATAATGTGGTGATGGTTACTCCAGGGCACACCAGAGGACCTGGCTGACTCCTTCAGGTATCTGGTGGAGAGTACTGACACATTGATTACAACATCTAAGGCCCGACTGGTCTGAAGATGGCTAAGTAAAGTCACTTAAAATTCTGGCAATCATATCTGATACTTGCTTGGGTCTGGCTGTGTGCTGCTGAGTTTGTTTGTGTTTTACAACACCTGACCTAAGCTCTTAAT